CTGACTAGAAACTAAATTGGATCAGCCGTACAAACATGGGCTACAACAGCAAACTGGAGGCTGGGAACTGTTCCGAGTAACTCACCTCCTACTACCCCAAAACCCTGTCCATTCTTTGCATGGCAGGAGCGAGATGGAATACTCCTCACTTGCTTGGATTAGTGCAGCTCCAACAACACTTAAACCCATCACCTTCTAGGTGAAAGTGAACTGCTTGATTCGCACCCTATCCAACATCTTCAATATTCACTCTCACCAATACTGGCATAACATGCATCATTTACAAGATGCACTGGGTCCTCAATAGCACTTCCCAAACCTGTGACTTTTAACATGTAGAAAGACAAGGGCAACAGATGCATCACTCTTTCCAAGCTCCATTACAAATCACACACTATCCTGATTGGAACTATCTTGTTCATGCTTCACTGTCAGTGGTCAAAACCCAGCCCCAACTGCACTGTGTACGTACCTACGCAGACAGTTAGAAATGAGCAATAAATGCTCACTTTGCCAGCGATGCTCACATCCCAAGAAAGAATAAAGTTTCCATTATGTGCATTTTCCCACTCAGCTGCTGAATGTCACTTATAATAAGAGTTAGAAATTAAATTTGGTGATCCTCTTACCTTCACTATCCAAGTCATCGGTCTCATCTGCCCAGCTGACAGGCTTTGAGGGAATAAAGAACTGGGTAGACCCTCCACCATCCTCTGCCAGAAAGTCAGTCAGGGTAAGAGTCTTTCCCTTTTTCTGCTTCTTCTTCCCTATACATTAGGAGTTTGAATTGTTAATGTTTTAAAGAACTCAGTTGCCTCATAAGTGCACTATAAAGACTGCTTGAATTGTTGAAACAGAGACTAGTTTGACATTCTGATGGAACATTCCCTCCTCATGTTGCACCCTGTCCCCAGTACTGCTGATTAGGTGTGTGCAAAGGACTAGCCTTTAGCTTTAGGGCAAGGACACAAATATAAACCTAGATTATTTACTAAACAGATACTTGCTTGAAAATGGTTTTCCTCTGGCATTTAGGTTACCTTCTAAACGAGACAAGTATTAAGAAGTCTACAGTACTGCAAATTTCAATGATTAAAAATAAAGGCACAAATAGGGTTACAAACACAAACTGAACAGTAAATTTAAAAAGCCTCTTGACAAACCATACTTAATTATGGAGCATAGTTAAGAGAGACAATGACCGACCTGTAGGATTATAGAATTGCAAGAACGTTTAGAGTCAAGAATAGAAAATGTCTATCACACTTGACCTATAGATGAAAGCCCTGCAGAGAAACTGGTCTTTTTTTAAGCCTATAGAAATTTCTCCAGCATATTCCAAAGATCAATTAGTTTCTGAATGACCATTGCTGTTACAGCAACTAGACCTTATAACGAGGGACAGATACAATATGCATCAGACAGAATTGTCACTCTCCATACAAAACAGCATATTCTATAACTTAGCATGAATTACATGAGACCCATGTAAAAACATAAACAGACAATATGTGCTTTACCCAGTGTTTTTATTTGCGTGCATTGCATGCTCCCGATTCTAATTTTATACTTCCCAAAAATATATTTCATATCATTACTACTTCTTTGCAGGAGCTGATAAAAATTATAAAAATCTTGCAAGTAACAATTGTATCATGGAAGATAAGTTCATAGCCACAGAAAAATGCATAAGAATTATTATGCTCTTCTTCCGCTCATTGGACAGAAGAAACGAAGAATCACTGTCCCACCCAATACATCTTTCTCAGAAAAAAAAAAGTTTCTGCATTAACCACAGGTTTAAACCAGGCTTCTAAAGCAGAAGCAAAAGACCCCAGTCACAGAAAGGAAAGAGTAAACTGGACATGGTATAAAAAAATGAACCCACTGGACATAATTGAAGATGTCCTGGTTTTCCTCCTGGCTCATTTTCTTCACACAGATGCATGCTGCACAAGTATATTATTTTTCCCTCCTTCAGTTCCAAACTTACCAGCAGACTAATAGTAAGTTGTTCAAGCGACATGTTGTAGTCACAAACTTGGCAGCACCAGGCTTACTTTGGGGCAGTTTTGGCTTCTTGACTAAAGGCTGTCACACAGAACACCCTTTCAAAAAATACTTTCAATAGCAGGAGAGAAATTTCAAGGTAATGTTTCTAAAACCCCCACCCTCCTTTTTAATTATTCCTCTAGGGTAAGCAAGTTTCAGCCTATGCCTCCTGTGCAGTCTCTACATAAAGGCCAATGTGCAGCATAATTTAGAACGGATCAAATAACGAGACAGAATTCAGCAATCAAGATTTTTGTTTAAAGATGGAGGGTAGGATCAGAAGAACAAACAAACAAAGTCCAAATTATTTCTAGCACAAAATCAGTCCAAGGTGTATACGTAGTGTTTATAACTGGAATGGATTGACAACACATCAAAAACTATATTCTGACTAAAGATATTTTCGCCCTAAAATGCAATTCTGTTAGATTACATACTTTTAAAGCATAATTTGAGAGATTTTAAAAGTGATAAAGCAATGCTGCAACTTTTTAATTGAACTGATAATGCAATTCAATTCCCTCCTCCCATGCTGTAAAATATTGCGTGCACACATTAAATGCAAATTACAAAGAATTTCACGTCAAAAGCTTAATATTTTTGAGGCTTCAGGTAGATTTCCTAAGCATTAAGAAAAAAAATACAGATCATTTCTTTGGTCAGTAACAGTAAAACACCAGCGCATATTTGCTTCACAGTGGTCACAAGCAATGCCGCTGAATTGCTTTTCAGGCAATATATTTAACAACAGGTTTACAAAAAAGCCAAAAAAAGTTGCAATGAGTTCAATTGCTCAAGGTGATTCCTTCGCAAGATAGGTTTTGCATAATGTATTGCCAAAACCTGAAGAACACTATCCCAAAGAATTAATTTTCAAAAAGCAATTGGACATACTTGAAGAAAATTAACACGCAGTGTTTTGGGAAAAAGCTGGCAGGTGGGGCTAAATCAGACAGCTCATTCAAAGAGCAGAAACAAACAGGAGCAAAAAGGCTGCCTTCTCTACTGCAAGATTCTAGGACTCTACAGCAGGCCTTAATTAGCCCTCTTAATACTGGATTATTTGATTCCGTGTCCAGGTATACATCTACCTTAGGATGTTGTCTTGTGTGAACGGCACAATCTAAATACGGTAAAAGTTCACAAAGGTCACAATATGGAAACATGGTTGTCAGTGCATTTTAAATCAAAGCACTCAAAAGATATGTGCCCAAACTGCTCAGTTGCAGCAACTGAGACAGTGTGCGCTTATGGAGCTCTAGAAAACAAAAAGGTTTGCGTGCCTGTGAGCAAGATGTGATAACATTGAGTTCTTGAAACAGTTTGAAACCAGCCACAGAATCTTTATTGCATTAGCTATTTATTTGCCTTTAAACTTGTACAACATACTTCTAGCTCTATTCAATAACTTGGAATTTATTTAAAGGATCAAAATTTCTCCATAATGGTTAAACTAAGAAACAGCGCTGGAACGTGATTTTTTTCCTGTTGAATGAGGTATTAAAAGTCATAAGTACTTGAAGTGCGAAATCAATCACTACAGTTTTACATAAGCATTACATATCTGTAAAAAATATACAATGTCTGGTCACAGCTAAATAAACATTTGCTGTCACTTGTTTCATCGCCAAAATCATCTAGACCAGTGGTTCCCGAACTGCGGATCTCGAGCCCTCCAATGGAGTCACGGATAGAATTTGGGGTCGTGAGCTCCCCCTCAAATCAGGGATGGCAGCTGTGAAG